AGCAGCTCATTTGAATTTCGCTTCATGTTGGTTAGCTCGCCATAAATTTTTAAAAAATTTTCCTTAAATCAATAATAATTCCTTTAATTTTAGTTGCTTAACATGCGCTTTATTTCACTGTTTTTCGAGTTCAATTGATTTATAACGCATTGTCAGTGTTCTGTACACGTCTGTGTAGATGTATGTATGTGCAAACACAACAATTCATCAGCTCATCGGCACTACTGTCCGCACGTCTGCGGCTCATAAAAAGATTATTGGAATTGAATTTTGGTTACAAATGTACCGTTGTTGCTGTTGTTGTTGTTGTTGTATTTTTTCTTTTATTATTGTTGTTGCTTCCCTTGTATTATTTACTTATTGAATTCTATTGGAGTTTCGCTTTAATGTTTTCCTACGACTTATTGCAGCTTATCTGCGTCGTACCAGTGAACTTCTGGGCAACTTACTTAACGCTGACGCGCCTCACCACCTTTTTCGGTCTTTCTACACCCTTCACTTAATTCACTCTTTAATTCCAATCAATCGAATGCGCGAGTGCTTGTATAGTTGTTTGTGTGTTTGCATTTGTGTAGGTATGTCGGTGTCAATAAGTTCGACCTACGAGTATATCCCGAAACCCAAATGTCGAAAAGCCTTTATTGACGCTTATTGTTGTTTTAATGAGATTAAGTGCAGCGAATTGTGGTCAGTCAGGAACGACAAGAGTGCCAACACAAATAGCGCTTGTTCGTCATAAAAATGTAGCAAAAAGTGGCAGACATATGTATGTACGCTTGTGTAGGTCTCTGCTCGAAGGTGGTCGGCCGTTGAGCTATTTGCTGATGGCTTTACTACTCCGTTGCTTACTTCTCCTTTTCTTTCGACATATACATATATATATATATATATATATATATATATATACATACATACATGTATGCGCCACGCAGGCTGACTGCCAACCTTTGTAGCTCATACTCGTATGGCATTCCTTCATTTTTATTTTATTCAATTGATTTATTTCATTTTTTTTATCACTTAATACCATAAGTTGGATTTAAATTGACAATTCGTTGCACATCAAAGCAAGTCTTAGCTTGCAACTCTTTGGCTTGGCGCGGCTTATCGGTCGTTGGTAGTTCAAAGTACTTAATCGAAAGTAGAAATGGAAGGACCCTGGCTAGAGATTCAATTAACGATTACTTGTAGGTTTAAATCGATAAAATGTTTGGCGAGAGTTTTCAAATTTATTTTTTGTTTGTTTTGAAATTCATTGTGCAAGAAAATAATTCTTTAATAAATTTAGTTTGGTGCTATATAACCACTGTAGTGATTTTAGGCCGCGCTCCCACTCACATCGGCAGGCTCCTTTTATTCCCATAGATTACTCTAAATTACCTCCAAGCTGTTGGATTTTCATAATGAGCTTTTTTCACCTCAAATATATACTCAGAGTGGCGATTGCAATTAAAAAAGTTAGTTTCTGCAATATAAGATGTTTCTCCGGCCAGGTTTAGAGTGTATTACTGCGTAGACAGTTCCCGAAAAATTTTGTTTCATAAACCGCACAAGTTTGTAGCCAAAGGTGACCAAAGGGAAGGTAGGAACAATGGAGATAATCTGATGTCTGATTACCAGAGTATACTTAGTTCACGGAATAATTCTACAGTCGGATGAATTGGCGTGAAAAGGAACTACAGGAGATGGCGAACCCAAGACTCAAATCGATTACATAAGAACAAATGCTCCCCCTTCCGATTTTAATGCAATCCGTATGGAAAGAGCTCGCCTAAAGGGCAGCATGGTATCAGCCTATGATCTAACAGTTTAACTATTCAAAAAAATCAGCTGCCGATATGTCTAAGTTTTCTATACTGACACAGTACAATATCAAAAGCTTCAGGGAAGTACCTATCCGATCGATGCGATACTAAACGTGGTTTCAGACAACGCAACTCTTGACATCACCAGCCTTAACAACTGCGCCGTTAATTCCGCTTTCTCTAGATTGGATTAGGAAGCGTAGTGAATGGGTCTGTTAGTAAACAGTAAAAATACTAAGGACTTCCTGCCCATTAACAACCGGTGTGTGCACTAGAGTCTTGACTCCCTGTTACTGTCGCGATTCAAACATTGAAGTCGTAAATTATGAAGAATGAATGGGATTGAATTTACTTTGGTTAATGATTTTGTCTGAATGGATAGTGCTTTCATCCGGCTTTTAAAGTATTCGACAATAAGTAGTACACAGAAAGAGTCCAACGTTTTTGAAAAGTCAAGTGGAAAAGGACCTGGCTTTACTTCATATCTGCAATTGGGTAGACTGCTATTTTCGCTTGGCTGTATTTTCTATGACACCATCTTAGACTATCTTTAGTTTGTCACAAGTACTCCATGAATTAAAGTTATTTTATTTATTTACTTGGAATTCTAAATGCAAGTTCAAAACCGTTTTGAAGGTCCAGTCCTCAGACGATTGAAAAGCTATATCTTCGTCGGGAGCCCATAGTTGGGATACGCGGGAGCCTTACTAACCCTCTTTAACAACTCTTCTCTTTCGAGTTAGCAACCAAACGAATGGAGACCACTTTTGTGACCAAAAAAGAGTGAACTCCAAATAAGTTCAAACCGATAAGAGGCTTATAGAGCCATTTCAACCCCAGTTGAGGTTCAATAATGGTATTTAAATGGTAAAAATTTCAACCTACAACACGCGCGACAATCCATGTCACTCTGTAGACCGCGCTTTATCTAGGGTTAAGCCAAACGATCGAAAGCCTCTTTTTCAGAAAAATCTATCTAGCTTTCCTTAACCAAGTGAATGAAGTAGAGATCGTCAAAATAGAATTTTTGTGTAGAGATCGGCCAAATAAAGAACGGCTGCTGAGCTATGCAACTATTTATATTCTCTAATAGATTTTTGGAGATAATTTTGTTCAATTAATTAATTTTTTAAGCGAAGTCAGACTCTGCCACTTTTTAATGTTCTCGGTTCTAAGGACGGAATGAACCCACTCTCGATTCGATTTCCGCGGCCTGGTGATTTTCTATCTTGCCATATCAAGTCGAGGCCTTAGGAGATTTGTCTACTAATTTTAAAATATGATAATGAGTTTATTTTATGGCCGAAAACCGGTCTCCCACACATGTACGATAATAACGGCAACATGATTTATTGTTCTTCAAATTAAACAGCTTGAGTAATTAGAGAGATTTTCTTCAAAAAGCAACTTGGTATTTAAGGCAATTACCTAAGACACATATTTACAATCTCCACTCGCAATCGCTTCACCCACACACATTGATAAATGAATCGCAACATTTTGAGACAGTCTTTGGCGCAGCAGGTAGGCGCCTAAATACGCTTGGCTATGGCCATAGCGCTGCACGTGTTGCGAATTTCATTTTACTGCTAAATGCTTGCAAGTGTATGCGTGAATGAATATTGACATATGTACATTGTTATGTATGAGCGCATGTGGTATGCAGGGAATTTTGCAGATTAGCTGCAGGTGCAACAGAGCACCCACAATGCACAGGCGACGGCCTACTGACCGATCAGCCAACGACGTTCCAATGACCGAGAAAACGACTTATGAACAAATATCGATACTTAAAGGCTGTCTCGCCAACGCACAGCAGGATGCTGGAGCCTTTCGGCGCGCGGAGCCTGGCGTTCAACTTACGTTATATACATACTCTTATTATATGTAAGTATTTACGTAATTGTGTCTGTGTGTGCCTTTTACCTTTTGGTTTTGCCAAATGCACGTGTGTGTGTGTGTGTGTGTGTAAATCAGTTTCATTGCTTGCCTGTCACAGTTTTTGCAAATCAATAAAATTGTTTATGCGAGTCAAAAAAAATCAGTCTTTATATGTACATGTATGCGCATGTATGTGTAGACCTAACGACCAGCATTTGCCACATTATCTCTGCCAAAATGATGTCAATTTGCTTGTCTGATCTTATCAGTGGTTTTGTACTGTTTTGTGCCACAAAAGGTAAAGACGTGGCACGAAAAAGTCGATAAAGACGGTTTTGACAAACAGGCCCCCATTAAAACGTATTCGTATCGATGTATGTAAATATATTTATTTGTCAGTATGTTTGCTTGATTGAACTGCCACTGGCAAAATTGAAGTTTTGGTACTGTCAGTTCGACTGTCAAAATTGTACTAAATATGTATATATGCATACGTGTATGTGTATATGTACATACGTGCAAGCATATGTATTTGTAAGCCTCTATAGACATGTTCGAAATTCGTTGAGCAGATTAGCTTGGACTGCTGCGAATTACGGCCTTTCAATGTAAGTTGAAACCAAAATGTCGCTATAAAAAATTATAAAAATTATTTACAGTGGATCTTTCAAACCTAGATTAGAAAAATTCAGAGGAATTATTATTTATTTATTTTTCAGAAATTTTCTTAAAAATAAAAATAATAATAAAATTAATTTAGCATAAAAAGCAAAATAGAGAAAAATATAAAACTATATTTTGATCACAAAATCATCGATGTCCCATTATCTTCTCAATAAAAAAACCAACGATTTTTTAACTCATTATATAATATTATGAGTATTCTATACAGTGGCATAATTGGTTTAATTTGGTCACTAACTAGTAAAACTAAAATTTCGGGATCAACTTGGACTTTTTGAAAGGACTTTTTCCTTGGTCATTTACTTTAAAAGTAAAGATATAGTTATTACTTTGAGGCAAACTATTCTAGAAAGAGCTGAGTATCATTTCTCTATCACCTCAGTACTCCTTAAGGTTTTAGTTTTTTTCATTTTCCAGCATATTTAGTTATAAATTAATATTTTCAAAATTATCAATGCAACAAGGAAAGTATAAATATAATTGACGCATTTTCAGCCGAGCTCCTTCTCCACTTTGTAGGTTTGCGGCTTGACATTTTTCCAACATTTACATTTTAACTACACCGACTCCGAACGCAATTAGAAAATTTAACTTTACTTTACTTAACTTTACTAAAACCAACCGCGAAGTTGCGCAACGTCGTGGGGAATGGACCTCTAAGAAGTAACAAATTAATAAAAACATCACATGAAAAGAGAAGCTCTAGCCGTGCGAAATGTCTGGAAAGATCAACATCGAACTCTAAGGAACAACTAGCCTCCAATTCAACGTCGCTGCTCGGTAGGGAATATATGAAATCGCACGAGGTAAATCAAGTGTATTTTCAACATTTAATAAAAAGTTTCTCATACAAATGATCAGCTGATCGAAGGTGAACTGGTCAGGGTCTGGTTATAAAACATCAATTATAACAGCATAAGCTTCTTTTTCCGAAAAAACACTGAAATTAGGTAGTCTTATACTACTTTGGAAACATGGAGGAACAAGTGTTTTGATAATATCATGAACAGCAGCGAGTTTTTGCTGAGATTAACTTACTGGTATCCAAGGCTTTAAAAATATATAAAAACTGTTTGGAGTTCATTTTCAGGCAGTTTGAATTCATTCACCTCCGTACGAGATTTTAGAAGTAAAATGTGGATATCCTTTTTCGGGTGTATAGTTCTTCGTCACATATAAATACTTGAGTAAGTTAGTTAAGGCGGAGAGCAATAAATCACCTTCCTAGAAGGTTGGAAAGAGAACCTACCGCCTTTAAATATATGATCTTGTTCCTAGAAGAGCGAATTAAATTCATACCGTCATCCGATAGCTAATATGAAGATTACAACATATCTGATTTGTATGAAGCTCAATTTAGATTTTTGTTAGGGATCACGTCTGCTGGATCTGCTTTATTTTTATGTACAGTCAATTTCAGATAATACAGTCAATTCAAAATAATTTCGTCTGCAATTGCGGATGATTACTCCGTAGAAGCTAAGATGATCTCCCGCAGTTAATTAATTAATTTAATATATAAAATTTTCATGTCACTATGTTTGTAACCAAATTTTTCCGAAGGACGAAGGCTGAACTAACTGGAGTTAATACGAAGACCTAAAATTGAGGGTAAGCGCAGATCGCTGAGCTATGTTTTGATTTTTTTTTAGTTTCATATACAAATAAATTTTTTTTGGCGTAGCGAAAATATTTTTTTTTTCAATTCCAATTAAATAGAATTCTTAATTTAACAGATCATGCCACTGTGCGTAACTGAGTTAAATTTTTTTCGATATGTATGCCATTTGCAATCAAGTTTATTGCATTTTCATAAGGAAAAAACACACATACATGTACATATGTATGTACATACATACACATATATGAGCGTCTTGCATATAATTTGATATTGCCAATAGTCGATTTACAATAGTCAGCAACTGTCAATTGGCCATACAAGCCAATGATATGTCAGTGGAAGGGGGAAAAACATAAAAGTAAATGAAAATAAATTAATAGAAACAAAAATGAAAAACAACAACCAAAGGCTAAGCAGCTGCGACAGCAACAATTACTTGACAATTGCCACAACAATTTAGTTAGAATTATGTATTTATAAATTTTTATATCATTTGCCAACTGAGAACTCGCATGCTTGTGCAAACGGATCTACAAGCACACACACACACACATATATATATAACAGTATATATGAATATCTGCAAGCTTGAACTCATTTTGGTATTTGTCATTTTTTTTTATTTTTTTTTGGTTTTAGCTTACAACATTCGCCAATGTTGCACAGGTGAGATTAAAATATTAGATTTGTAACACAGTGGTGGATATCTATGTAAATATGTACGAGTATGTACATATGTGCACAAGCGTGTGCTCATTTGCGACAGAAAACAACAGAAATTAGCGATCTATACAAGAACAATGGCAAGTAGACGTAAAGCGACAGGCGAGACCTAAATTTCCGAAATGGGAATACAAAGAACACATGTGAGATTTTGTCTAGCGAAAATTAGATAAATTGAAACAAAGAAAAAAAAAATACATATTTTAAGTGACTTTTTAATTTTAAAATATTTTTCACTCACACATATACACATATGTATGTACTCGTATACTTATAACTAAGAACATTAAATTTGTTTGTATGTATATTTTTTATATTCATTTATGTAGTACACTTATCTACTCATATTTATTGTCATAAAATATGCCATGCACGACTAAATCACGATTTGTTGAGCTTTGTGTACAGCAATTTACAACATAATGCGCATATAAATATGTATGTGCCTGCCTGCGACTGGAAGTGTGATGTCTATAAGTGTTTCTATACAAACGAATATGAGCTAATGCATTCATACATACTTACACGTATAATGTCACTATTCAAATATGACAGTGATAACTGGTATTTTACTAGAGACAAATGGCTGTTCCTAAGCGATTTATGAGATTTGCGATTTAATTTGAATTAAACAATTCAATAATATTTATTTATAAATTAAAGTCAGACATTTTACAAAAAAAAACATACACACATATAAAGGTACATTCAAATGGTGTAACTGCATTTAGAAAAAGATAAGAATATTGACATTCATTTTATCTTAACATAATAAAAGCGGTGAAGGGATTTGGCAGGTGATTAATTATGCCAAATATTAAAATTATTAAAAAATATTTATATAAATAAAAAAGAGTATTTTTTGCGAAAATATATTTACAACTAAGCCTTCAGATGATTATATATGTACATACACATGTAAAAAAAACTGCACAAAATAAATGAATTCTTTTTAAAGTTAAAGTGACGGATTTTCGTAGAAGATTCCCCCGAACTGGCAATGCATTTTTACGTGAAGCTTTTCATTTCATATAAACCGAGCTACAGTAGACCTCATGAAGAATGACAATTCCTTTTGACATTTTTAAGAGGTATTCAATTTTGATACCTCAACTAGTTCTTTGCCCATATGCCTAAGATAAGTTCTCAATAAAGCCGAACAGATGCAGAAAAGGGTGTGCTAGCATCTACTTCATGATCTCTACCTGCACTTGCTGCAGCAGAAATTGGTTAGGTTATCCTTTGTTGCTGTTGTTATTGACCTTGGCATTCTTACAAGCCGTTTTAGCGTTCCGAATCTTCCCGATCCGTCTCTCAGCCTAGTACTTTTCGGTAGCCACACGGATAGCACGTTGAGCGATTTTGTCAAATATTTTTTCCCCTAAAAGATTTTGCAGACTGAAAACCAGCAAACATACGTATATGACTCTGCTTTCCTGTAGTCACCTTACCTACTTTCTGACAAAATTCCTCAAATTATCGTTAATTTGCGTCCACGATTTATCCAAAGCTAATTTCTATGCGTAAGAGCGCTGCTCCCGCATCGATTTCAGAATCATATTTGGGAATTTTACACTATGGTGAGTAAATAAAGTATCATTCGCACAAAAGTCGGAATTTTCAACCTTCCTAACGAAACATCCCTAGGCTGGCTGACGCTGATCGACTTGGCCGCGGTCCGAAGTATGATTGTCTATGTCACCAGTTACTGGCACAGGATATTGCACTTAGCGACTTGACTATCACTGGATCGAAAATCGCCAAATCGAGTATGTTGCTTCAGACGAAAGACATGAGTGCGGTAATACAAAATCCAATACCAAATCGAATCACTTTCATGTCGCAGCAAAAATACTCAACCGCTTCTGTGCAGAAAAAAAAGTCTGTCAACAACCATAATACAGGTGTCACTCAATCACTTCGCTTCACTGTCGAATCTAGAGAAAGCAGAATTAACTTTCCAATTCCGACTGCTTCTGGTATTGCCCAGCGCCAGTTTGTACACTTGTATAAGTTTTTCAGGGAAACAAAACTCAGCTAACACTCTCTTTTTTTATGAGTTTTTAAGATTTGACGCATGATGGATGTCTAATCATTCTTGGATTCACCAGATATAAATCCAAATGATCTTGTATGTGACGTTGACTATAGACATTATTTTCTTATCGTTTCGGCAAAGCACATTCTGGTTTCAATCCATCGGGCGTGCTTTCGTCAGACTGTATTCTTCCAAGAAGCTGATGCGTGTAACTTTTTAAATTCACTACATATATGAATAGCTGAGGCTAGAAGATATCAGCTCTGGCCGCTTGGGCACCCCTCTTCTCCAGCGAGTTAGATCAGCGTACTCTCTATAATTCAGTATGTTTCGAGCATGGACCAGAAGACTTCCTTGGAAGGAAGGAAGGTCTTGAAATCCTTCCTGGAATCGCCTAATATTTTCATAAAATAATCGAGCATAATCCCACTGCCAATGGCCTTGGTGCTTTATCCTTCCGTTCCGGTATTAGTGAGTACGACATTATACACATACGTACGCAGATAGAGTCGTCAATAACAGTATTCTTTTATGATTATTTCACTTGCGTGTGCCTTTAAATTCCTTCTGATTTTTCTAAGTCATGTAGATTGCGCTAGGTAAATGTTAACCGTTATTTATGACAAAAATCATTTTTCCTTGCGTTGCCTTTTCTAAATGAGATACGCTAACACTGCCACAATGCTAATAATACAAAACGTAGAAATAATATCCTTCATAATTTATTTTTGCTTCAATGCCTCAGTCGTAATTTTATTTATTTTTGCACATTATTACCTGTAAACAACAAAAAGATGCAGAACCCTGTACGCCATTGCCTGAAACACAAAACATAAAATAAAAAATGATTAAGAATATTCGAGCAACATCCTTAGCTGATCATTGCACGTACGCAAACACTCATTCACTTGCCTCACTCATCTGGCTCACCTTCATTCAGCTGAGCAGCTGACAGCAGCTGACGTCTCATATGCAACTCTGTGCGTACGCGTGGTACGTGATTATTTGCCATTGCGTTGGATTTATCACCAAACCAAATACTAACGCACATATCATGATAAAATTACCTCTGTCATGTGTGTGTGTGTGTGTGTGTGTACGGGTATGTGTATGCTCTCATCCCAAAGCAAATATGTACACACGCATTATTCCTCATTTCTAATCCACTCTCACCCGACCCTTGCCGCTTGTAGCCTTTCCATATCCTAAGACAATATGCTTTCGACACCTTTCATATTTACTTTAAGTTAATTTAAAAGAAAAACTAAATAAATAAGTAATAAAGAGTACAGTGCGACGAGTAGAGGAAAGAACACGAGAGAAGCGCGCATTCCTACTCAATTCTATTTATTGTATTTGTTGAAACAATAAAACAGAGGTGTGAAGTACAAATAAATGATTTGAAAGTTAGCATCTTAATTTGG